TCAGACTTAACTGTAGCATTATTTCAGTGAATTCCCGATTGCTACCTACAGTCTCCACAGGGGTACTACCTGTCTTGAAGAGCTTACAGTCTAACTCTCCCCGCATGCAGTAGCCCTTGAACCCAATCAATATATGTATTATTTTTATTTATATAAATTAGTTTAGAAAATTCCCCTGTCAACTATCTATAAAATAGGTGTATTAACAGTATTCTCTCAATATGTTGAACTTGCAGCTAATGGGTAAATGAACTATCTAACAGCTGTATCAAGGGTTTCCAATAACAAGATGTAGAGGCAGACACTAAACTCGTATTGTTGCAGAACCCAGAGAAAGGGGAACTATGTGCAGCCTTACCAAGAGAGGGTGAAGTTCTTCTGGGTGCAAATAATCCATGATTCTACATAGTACTTGCACACTTTAGGTTCTGGCAGCAGTAGAAATCATTTACTTTCATCCTCTACTGTCTCATCATCAGGAACTTTCAATGCATATGAGAAGAGCCAGCTTGATATCTGTCCATTATACATTCCGAGAATAGGTCGGCAAAGTAGTGTCGTCTTCATAATGCTGCGCTGACAGTGTTTCTGCAGGAAAGTCTTCATGTTTGTTCAATCATTTGGCCTCCTTGCAGAGACTGCCAACATGGATTCCGGTTTTGATAGTTTTTATGATGGTGGAAATTTGTCCTCTGCAAACGGCAGTGAGAACACCTGTGTTTCTCTGCTGTTAATATTTGAAGAGTCGCATGATCCTCAAAATTTTTGGTTAAATTTATGTATAAAACACCTTCCTATCTTCTTGTTTTTAATTTAAATTTAACTAATTGGAGACTTGACATTGGAGCTGAGAAGGATTTTTTTGATTATCTGCCTGACTTTGTTTTGTATATGTGATTAATTTGCAGTGGTTATGACTTTGGCTATCTAATCAAAATCCTGACTAACTCTAATTTACCTGAAGAGGAGCTGGACTTCTTTGAGATACTCCGGTTGTTTTTCCCCGTCATTTATGATGTGAAGTATCTCATGAAGAGCTGCAAAAATCTCAAGGTAAATGATTTGATATCTAGTTCAGAACAGAATTTTCTAAGATGGCATTTTTTCCTACTGAAAGAACATATATGACATCTGTTCACTGCCCTGTCCGGCAAATCTACCTTGATGGTATTATTTGTTAACCATTAGTCTAATCAATTTTGTGAATTTGATATATAAAAAGTTACTGATGAAATGTAAGAGGTAGGAGGGGCACACTAGTTTTGTTCTTGTGGCTCTTAGCCATTTAAAAATTAAAAACCAATCCCATTTATTGGCAGCTTCATAAATCTGTGCTGCCAAATGATAGACCGATATTCGAAGGAAGTTACATCTTGCTGTTAACTTCTCAGGTTGTTAGAATTGATGGGCTTGGCCTCTGTGAGCAGGGTATTAAATGATACACTCTTGCATCATTCCTCACTGTTCAATCCACTGAGAGGCTGCAGTTGTGAAAAGTGACTTTGGTGTGAAGGGATGGAATGGCTAGACCTGCAGGTTGCCCTGTAGGCAAAGGTGAGCAATGACAGATATGCTCAGAGCCAACTCATGACTTCTAGAAAAATAGGGTTAGAAACTAACCTCTCAACTCAAGCCAGTTGGGCTATTAATTGGCTTGTTCTATTAGGCATAAAATTTGGAGAAGATTTGATTGGCCTGGAGAATGAATGTGAACTGGAAACAAATGTATGAAGGGAAGGACACCAAAAAGATATGCTGCTGGGATTTACAGCCACACTTGCCAAAGAAGGCCACGTATCTGGACTGGTTTTGAAATGAAAGGGGCACAACTCATCAGAGGCAATAGGTGGCTCATTGTTTTGATGGAAGGCGACACAGAACACTCTGGGTTTTCTAAATGAGAGCACGTGGAAACTGGACATGGACTGACTGTAATGCAACCACCTCCTGAGTACAGGGATGGTATGCCACTCTTTATCTCAGAATGCTGAGCAAGTGATTTAGACGATGCTGATGAGCTTGAATTTTGTGAGGCTATGCATGTAAAGGATATGTACTTTTTAATGAGGATCTTACTGCTGACTATGAAGTAAAGAACATAATTTCCACCATCTCCTATGCTAATCAGTCTGCACTGGAAGTGGTGAGAAGTGGGTGGAATGGTCTTTTCCGACTATCAGGAAAAGCATACTAGCCCGGTATCTGGTTAGGAGTTTTGCATCCCATCAGCAACCCTCACCAACTGAGTAAAGAATGTATATTGGGGAACATCTAATTGACACTGGGTTTCCATTGGGACCAAGATAAGTAATAAAGTAGTTGGAAAAACTGCAGAAGTCAACAAAATTGTGCACCCTCATGGACTGAAACAAAACCTTTGCTGCTTATATGCAGTTGTTTTGCCCCAAGTACTAAATGTGTAATTCACCCTTATGGACTTGTGGGGGGAATTAACAAATTTAACAGCTTCTGTCATTAGAGCTTTGTGGTATTGGCAACTAAACTGCAGACCAATTATGAAAGGAAGGGGAGAGATAGGAACTACCCTGTTCCTCCAAACACCATTGCTGAAACAGTCCCATTGCTATCCACAGCAGTGAAATGCTGCCAATTGTGTAGACCTGTCCCAAACTGAGAACAGCTGGTGTGTCTTCGGAAGTCAAATCATTAATTACTTGCATGCACTGTTGCCTAAATGAATTTCTTTGTCTTTTTTTTTTGGTTTAAATCTCTATTAAATTGCAGTGAATTGAATTGCTGTACTGATGTCCTTTATTGATTGGTGCAAACTACTCTTGTTGGTCACTTCATTTTATTAGAGACACTTGATTTTCCTTAGACACATTTTGGTGCTGATGGTCGACCCTGGGGACTGAAACCCTCTCTATAGAATTGTGTGGATGGTGGTTGCAGAATATTGTAGAATTACCTCCTGACTCCAGCAGAAATACTATAGAAAGAGTGTAATTAGTTGCTGTTGCTCATATACAGCACTACTCCTTTCCATCGTCTGTTTGGTGGGGACTATGGTGCAGCTGTAGCCTGGTGACCAATAGCAATACAGTTTCTTCCCAAAGAGGAAGAATGGTCCAGTGGTGGAACAATAGCTGGGGACTTGAGAGACCCAAATTCAGTTCTCTACTCTTCCATAAACTGCCTGTGTGACCGGAGGCAAGATACTTAGTCCCTCTGAGCTGCAGTTTCCCATCTGTGAAATTCTCCATCTGGGAATAGTATTACCTCCCTGCCTGATGAGATGTTGGGGATAAATACATTAATGATTGTGAGGTTCAGATTCTGCAGTAATGGAGGACCAATAAATTTCCTTAGCTAGATAGGTAGATCCTGACTGAATTTAGTGGTGGGGTGGGGCTTGGGAAGCTGCACAGAGTAGTTAACAATCTATACCAATATCCTGAGATTTGTGGAGTTGGGCTTGGGTTCCCCATTGATCTTGGGCCATCATCCGTGGTGATGTGGTTACAGAACCAACCTGCTAACCTGTCTATCTCAAAGGAATGATGCATCTGAAATATTTAGAAATATTTTTTCTTTTCTTTCTTGTGGCTATTTATATCTAACAGGAGGGAGGGCTTGATTTGACCTATAGTTTATAAAGCATTTTTGGTTCTCAAGGTTATATTAAAAACCTTTTGATCAGCACTGCCTTAATCTGGAGGTTTTAAAAAAAAAAAGTGACTTAGAGAAGAGAGGCTCTGTATCCCATAATTAGTCTCCAGAGAGATCCAGTGTTTCCCTTGTATTTCCAACAGTTGTAAACTATTTTGTGTGACAAACTTTTAGGCACCCTTTTTGGAAAATTTTGGCTAATATCCACACTGAAGGGGATGCTTTCATCCTGTCCTGAATTTTTTCTAGATCAGTGTTACATTCCAGCCCCTGCAGTCTGTGTAATATTTCCACATTTTTCCTTTCTTTGCAAGTGGTAGATTTAAGACACAGGACATCCAAGCTAAGTTAGGATTGATAGGTATGCTGTCTCACACCTAGCAGTACCCAGTGATGAGAGAAGTGATCTTCAGCTACTGTCTAGTCAGGAGGGCATGTGGCTTAAAAGGGATGAGTGGGTTTTAAGAGGGCCCAGTTTTTAATTAGGCATGTTTCTAATAGCAATCCACATTAATGCTATGGGGAATGCTGCAAATGTCTATTCAGCAGTTCAGGTGTGCCCCTTCTTCCTTCCTACCCTTGCCACCTTGGTGCTTATTTAAAAGGGGAAGTTAGGTCATAGTGTGAGTTGAAATGTATGCAAAATTCAGATTGTAGCACAAACCAACAAAAATGGCAAAAGTCAAACTGACATTGTCACACTATAAAATATTTAAATTACCCCACACATTTTCTTATGTCACATTAACACCTTGTATAATTAAAATGGAAATAATTTTTAAAATGTAGTTTTCATTACCTTACACTGTCTGCTCATTTTTCACGTGTTGGATGATTTGAAATAAACTAGTTAGTTTCAATGTCAGGTTCTTGTGCCCTAGCACAATTCTGTCGTGTTTGGCTTGCAGTGCCACTTGGGAATGGCTTTATTAATAAAGTTTCCATTTGAGTTAAAAAAAAAAAACCCACTCATGGAAACATCCTGGTTGGCCGTAAGATTCATAGCTCTTTTGAACAATCTGCAATTTGGGCCAAATTTGACTTGGTTAAAGTTTAATCTTTAACTTGCAATATTTCACCCCAGCCTCTTCTCCCTCTCTTCTCCACCTCCATCTCCCAAAATGATACGTGGTCAATGGAATTCAAATACTATAGGTTCCCTTTTTAATATTAAAAAGAACTTGCTTTGTGCTAGCTTCATTCCTGTCATTGACTACTTCTGTGTTTTGGTTTCCCTTTTTTCAGATGTAAAAAATGTAGTGCAGGCTAAAAGCATTTTGATGCTCTACCTAGTTTCAACCTGTTGCTGGCAGAGTAGTGATCCTAAGCAGTCTGCCTGGCACACAGTTTCGCTATGCAGTGTAGTGTTTCGAAAATTATTGTAAGGTAACTGATTTTCTCCCAGTTGTACAACCCTTTACGGACTGGTACATCCACAACATAATCTTGCACGTACCGTAACTATATTGTCCCATGGGGATCAGTTTAGCGAAGTTTACACTAACCTGTCTAAAGCTGAATTGATCTACAGAGAATCTGCTTCTGCTTGTAGTGCCATTATCGCTTTCTTGACACTAAAATGATCTGAATTCATCAATACCTGTTTTGGGGATAGTTGTAGGAGATCCTGCTTATCCTATGGACAAATTGGAGTAGGGATAGTCTGATTTGTTCAGTTGTGTGTGTTTTTGTTTTTGTTTTTTAAATTTGTCCATGAAAAAGTCTTTCAGGCATTTTCATTCTGTGCACCATTTCTCAAGATAGGACTCCTGTTATTGGCAGCTCTCCTCCCAATCTCTCACCTGCTGCTGCGCAACTGTAGTGTTATGAAGTTATATGAAAAAGTAGTGCTAGGGCAGGATAAAGGAGTGAAGATGAAAATAAACTTGCTTGGATTAAATGGATACAGCTGCTTGGTTAGTTCCCCTCCCCTATTGTAAATTTGTGATATTTGTTCCTCTCCCTGGATGTAGGACTTACATTTATTAGTTCCAAATGTTCCACCATTACCCGCAACCCCTAAAGACTCTGATTTCTCCTAGTGCTTTACTTTGGTTCTGTGTGTATGCACTACCTTGTCTATTTTGAGATCTTCTGCAAATTTGAATCAGTTGAATTTACACCAAAAATACACCCAATAAAAGGACATGAAGGCGCTGTGAGGGAGGTGAGGGGTGTGCTTAGTTGGTCAAAAAGCTTCTGGAATTCACAAGTTCCCCACTGGGCTGCAATTAACAGGAAGAAAAATTTCTTGAAGACTGAAGGATACTTTACCGTTGTAATATAAGCTGTGTAGAGTAGACCACCAATGATCCATGCCCTACAATTAGACTTCCTCTGTAGAGCAGTTCCCAGTTTTGAGCCCTGTGTTTATTTGCTACACTCAGTGTTCAAAAGCTCTCCTTTTTGTATCTGGGCTGTTCTTTACGCGCGCACACACCCTCACCCCTACCTCTCTCTCAAGGAGCTTTAAGCACAGATGTGGCTTAAAATGTTTTCTTTAAAAAAATACACTGTCAGTTAGCACAGTGCCTGTTAAAAGAAAGCTAATTGTGTGCTTATGGTAGCTAATAGCTTCTTAAATGTGGTCACACTGCAGTTTACATTACTTTTAACACAGATGTTTCATTTACTCTTTTATGGCAGTTAATAAAACCAATTAAAACGTTGCTAATGATGGGTTGAATGTTAGCTTTTTCACTTTGCTCTTTTTTCCCCTCTTGAATTTTACAACTTCACCTGGGTTCAGGGTTCTCCCCTAATTCCTAAGGTAGAGCATTATCCTGGATTCCCTCTACTACTTTAGATGCTTTGAAGTTTTGTGGGGGAAGCGCAGAACCCTGAGCTTAGGTGTTGGCAGGTAAATGAAAGAAAAAAACGTGTTTTTAAATGAAAGCTAATTACTTTCAAGAGAAGTTGGAGTGCACATGTTTGTAGTGATTTGGATCTTAAATTGCTTTATGTTTGAAGTACCATTCTTCGCGTTTAAATTCTAACCCTAATAGAAAAGTAGGGTGTTAAATGTCTTGATTTCTGAAACTGTCATTCAGCAGCAGCATCAATCCTTTCAGCTTGGTCAGTGTAATACTTGAAGGAATTGCCTTGTTGAGTAGTAATTCCTTCAACTTTAATTGGCTGGTGTGCCTAGGCCTATTAGGTCTAAGACTGTCATTAATACTTGAAAGTGCTTGATTGCTTAAATAATACTTAAAGCCTGAATGAAAAGCTTGGCTTTTCCAAGTGTGTGCTGGTTGCGTATTTCTATTGTGACTGCTGTAGTGCTAAACTAAATATATACAAATGGTGGTCGAATAGACTTTGTTATGCAGAATTTTAGTGCTACTGTTGAATGATTTGACTTTGTAATTATTATCCCCGCTTTGACTGTGTAATGCTCCTTCCTTTTTCAGGGTGGATTGCAAGAAGTCGCAGAGCAGTTGGAGCTGGAAAGGATAGGACCACAGCATCAGGCAGGATCTGATTCTTTACTCACGGGAATGGCCTTTTTCAAAATGAGAGAAGTAGGTGTCCATATTGCTTTCTGTTGTAGTTTATTTGGATGAAAGTAATCTGCCTTAGTAGTCAATATTGTGCTATTCACACTTATGAGATATGCTAGAACCATTGACCCACCAAAATTGAACCATTGACCCACCAAAACCAGTGGCAGTACAACAAATTTTCAGAAGAGATAAGAGAAATGCATGAGAGGGCATCACTTCTGTGACAAAGGGCAGAGTCTAAGACAGGCATTCCCATGCAAAGTACAATCTACAAACCAAATCCTTTCCTTTCCTTGTTTTGCTTTGTGTGCACGCTTAGTGAGGGGATGTCTCTACACGGTGTGCGCTCGCGCTCTCTCTCTCTCTCTCCTTTCGTCTCCTTGCTGGTGCTGTTCCTTCCTGTGGTCTGTGGGCCTTCATCTTCCACGGCAGGGAGCCCCAGCTACCTGACCCTATCGTCCGCTACCTGGGTCTTCTGAGTGATTGAAGCAGATAGCTCAGGCCACTCTGCCGGCACTTCTGTTCACCACTACCTCCTCCAGCTGACACAACGTCATACATTCTTCTTTGCATAGTGTCCCTATGGGTGCTTCACATCAGGATGTGCAGTCAGCTGTGCACTGCTGATCAGAGATTTTCATCAGCGTTTTTTGCACATGCATGCCTGCACGTGAGATATCCTTGTGTCTGGTATGAGGGTATATGGGAGGACCAGACCTGTCACCCTCCAGGTCCTTCTCAACTGCCTGTGCCTTGAGACAGAGCGTCGTGTCTGTTAGCTAGCGACACAGCTTATTAAGTGAGAGAGTTAGTCTTTCTCTCTTCTTTCTGGTATTGTCTTTTATTTAGAAGTTTGTGCTCTGCCTCTTCCCCCCCCCCCCCTTCTTTGTTTGCCCAATCTGGGGCTTGTTTTTCCATGGCCTTGACCCATAGTTTCAAGTATGGGTTATGCCCGAGACCCTGGGCTTCAAACCCTGCCAGACTTGGCGTAGATATTTTCCCCCTCAGTGACAGACATTCAGGCTGCCTCCACTGCCTGGGAGAGATTTATGTCCCTGCCAAATGAAAGGGCTGCTCTGGATTTAAAATCAGATCTAAGAAATTGAGGGAGTACAGACTAAAACTCCTGTTGATGGAGAGCTCACTGAGACCCACAGGATCCAAGTCGCACCATTCTCCTTCGATCTAGTTGCTCAGAGAGCCCAAGGGACCATCTGTGCTGCAGTAATAAGCAAAAATCCTGGGGGCCCTTAGAGAACTATGTAGACACTCAAAGAAGAAAAGATCCCATTCTCCAGAATGGGATAAGATAAGCAGAGAGTCACCCCTTCAGTCTTGGGAGACCTTGTGGTATGGGTACTGCTGAGGCGCTCATCCTCTCTGGTACTGAGACCTCAGATCTGATTAAGACGACCATGCCACGTACTGAGAAGCTGTCAGGTAAACAACCTAGAGCAACACTGGCTTGGGCACTGGGCTCAGTGTCTTTGAAACACAAGGACTCCAGAGCCAAACTGAAATTATCATTGGTGTCATCTTCTGTAGCCAGTAGATAAGGGTTCACTTATCACACTTCCGTAATGTCTCCAGTACTTCCAGACATACTGACTCCTATCCAGAGCCCTTGGTACTATCCAGGCTCCTGTTCCATGAGGAGCTTCAGCTCCTGGAAGAGCCTGAATCGCCATTGCTGTGAGATACAAAGACACGCTCTTGTCTAGTACCTCCGGAGCCTACTTACCCTCTGATCCTACCATCTTCAACAGTGACTCGTTCTTCAGTACTGACATGGTCACCAGCCCCACACAAACTCACTGAGGATACCTAGCCAATACTGACACATCCTTCAGTAGCATCTTGACAGCTAAGCAAGTATCAACCTCTGGTACCAATGTGGTTACAGGATCCTCTCTGGCCGCCGTACTGACTCAACCACCGGTATCGGCACCACTTGCTTCTCTGAGGGATGACCCCTTATTGGATTCTGAGGTATCTGTACAGTTTTCCTCTGCCTTCTCATTCCAGCTTCATCCTTTGAGGTACACCCTGAGGAGGAAACTCCTAGCAGTCGATGCATCTGGCAAGGATAACCTTGGGGCTCTGCCCCCTTCCTGTATGCCCCACCACAGTGGGCTTACTGGAACCTATTGGCCCCTTATGGTGAACAGTTCTTCAGGGTCCCATCTTGTAAAAGGGCATACCAGGAACAACAGCCTCCTCCCTTGTCTCCTGCTCCACAGGAGGATGTTACAAAGGAGCAAGAGCCAGCTGAGGAAGAAGAAACACCACCTTCCCACAAATCCTCCTCCTCGCTAAATGGGGTGGTCATACCTCCCACGCTGATGAATTCAAGGGCTTTCAAGACCTTGGGAAACAAATAGCAGAGACCTTGTAAATTGGAGAAGATACACGAACCCTAATGCTCTCTGTTGGACATCCTTCATACATCTCAAGGAAAAATTGCCTTGCCCTTCAGTGATGCTCTGCTGGCCCAGCCCGTATGTTGCAGCAAACTCCAGCTACTACACTGCCTGCGTGTAAACTGGCTGACAAAAAAATACTATATCCCACCCACAGGCTTGAAGTATATATTTTTTTTCTCCCACCCTACACCTGACTGTCTGATTGTCAAGGTCGTTAATGAATGATACAGGCAACATCAGTCCCTCTTAATGCTGTCTGACAATGAGCTGAACTGATTGGACCTTCTGGGCTGCAAGAGCTACTCCTTGGCCTCTTTGCAGTTCAGAGTAGCCAATTACCAAGCCGTGATGACAAAATATGATTACAAACTATTCAAAGTTTTATCTTTTATTGAACACCTGCCATAGGATCTGAGGGAACAACTTCAAGTCCTCATAAGAGCAGGCCAGACAATTGCCAAGCTGTCTCTCCAGGCCCCTCTCGATGTCACCAATACAGCTGCATGTTTGATGGCTACAGCAGTAGTCATGTGCTAAGCTTCTTGGCTGCGCGCCTTCAAATGGCAGCTAGTCATCAACTTAGGCCTTGTCTTCACTTACCGGAGGGTCCGGCGGCACGCAATCGATGTTCTGGGATCGATTTATCGCGTCTGGTTAAGACGCGATAAATCGATCCCGGATCGATCCCGGAAGTGCTCGCCATCGACGCCGGTACTCCAGCTCGCCAAGAGGAGTACGCGGCATCGACGGGGGAGCCTTCCTGCCGCGTCTGGACCGCGGTAAGTTCGGACTAAGGTACTTCGAATTCAGCTACGTTATTAACGTAGCTGAATTTGCGTACCTTAGTCCGAAGTAGGGACTTAGTGGGGACCAGGCCTTAGGGTAAAGGCACAAATATTTCTAGTCTTGTTAAGATGTGAGGAGTGTCCACATTAGCTTTTACTAATGTGTGACATACCTCGAGTTACTGGCAATCCATTAACTCAATGTACTAGTTTACTGAAGATGAACCCTGTAAGTCTCTTGCACATCTCTAGGACTGCTCTGTGGCTGGGGGTGGGAAATTGGTTGCTGCTAATATAATGCATTGATTTTTCACACAAGGGCGTGTGTTAAAACATTGGCACAAGAAACTTCTCTTTTACCAGTGTATCTGTATTCTGGTCTCAGACTACGAACTTGTGGTTCTCCTTTAATATGCAAAAAGTGTTCAGACAGTGGCAACCCTCATCTTTAACATTTTAATCCAAGTGACTTGGATTAAGTTGGAGCGTTGCATGCTAGGATGTGTAGCTTCTGCAGTCCACGCTGCCATATGAAGGAGGAGGCAGCTGCATGCCTCTGGCAAATATTGCCTAGGTAGCAAGTGGAAAACAAATGCAACGGTTTCATTCTAATCCTTACTGCACATCGCACAGTCTCCATGTGGTTAGGCTCAGATTAGTGCGATTGGCAGGGCACAGGCTAGAGCTGCAGGGCTGGGCTGATCTTTTTCTGGTAAGATCCAAGTATGAGGCACACTGGTGCTGTGCAAGTTTCCTCACAATACTCCTGTTCCTTTGAGCTCAAGCTTTACATGGGATCTAAAATAACAAAGAGGGAAGAAGGGGAAAAGTGAATAACATCCATATCTTGCTCAGTTCAAAGGGTGTGATACTGTATTTAAATGTGATTTAAGAGAGAAAAGGTCCAAACCCATGAAAACTCCTCTAATAATAAAATGCATTCTTCAGTTACTACCATTGTAACTTGTTACATTTCCACTAACTACTAGAGCTTAGCTGGGAGAAATAAGAAACTTAGTTTTCTAATTAAAATGAGGAGTGATCTCACTGTTTTTATAAAACAAGCAAAGATTTTTAGTTCTTTTGTTCAGGTCTTCATAGAAGCTTTGAAAATTTTTCTCCTCTATTAACTCTTGCACTATTTTATTTGGGAAATGGTGAGTTTTATGTTTGTATTTTGAATGAATCCTATTAACAAGACTTTTTTCTTTACTAACTTATGTTTTTGTCCTAAAACACATGTAATCTTTCACCAGTATTTTAGCTCGGGAAAAGATTGTATATTGATTGTTGATGTAGAACCAGCAGGGGGAGCACAACTTTCTGGTCTGTCTTTTAAGTACCACAAAAGAGGTCATTGATCTCGCTCCTTTTCTCCCCCAGCCTAAAAGATACTTGGCTTCTTGATGCTACAGCACTGGGGAGGTTTTTTTAGAAAAGCTAGTGGTGGGCTTTTTAAAGACTTTAAATAAATAAAAAAGTAAAAGTGCCTGTAGGCAATTCCTGGAATTCACTATCCTGCATGCAGGAAATGCTGTTCTAGGCAAATCCAAGTTTTTTGGGGAAAGAGAGGATGGATGACTTTAAATAAACATTTTGACTCTCCTGCCTGCACTCATCCTGTCTCCCTTAAATTGTTGTGTGTGCTCTCTTCCCTTCATATTTACTCTATGCCCTTTCTCTACTACTTCATCTTTTGGCTCTCCTGTAATTTTGTAAAGTGCTGCATCCATGCATTATTTATTCAGTTTTCATTTTAGCTTTGCCAGTTTCTCACTACAGGGAGAGGATTTGTTTAAATGTATACGTGTATTTGCATCTTCCCGCATTCCCAAAACTTCATGGATTCTGCAGCCAATCTCTAGTTCAAGCAATAGGAAATTAATGGCCTTGAATGTAGACCGGGATTTAAACTAGATAATGGTGGATAAAATCTTTAGGAAAAACTGTTTGTTAGATTTGCCCCTGTTTAAACATTCAGTATATTTTGAAAACCACACTGAGTAGTGTGTAGTGCTTAATTAGGAAGGGTGAAGGAGAAGGCCCATAGAAATCACTTACAAAGAGATACTGTTCTGTTGCATTTGTAAGACACAAAGGCTCTAATTCTTGAGTTAAAATAGACTCCTGAGACTTCTAGAGTTGTCACCATTTACTACTAATCAAAATAAGGTAAGATGCTGTAGAAGGGCTCGGCCGAGGCTCGTCCCTCCGCAGGGCTGTGGGGTATCCCACCGCCTCGCAGTAGGTCGCTCTGGGCCCAAGTCCTGGGTCAGGGCGGGCTAGTAAACAAACAGTCAGGAGCTCGGGCCCTTAGGCAGGGGCTGAGCCAATAGTTCAATATGATCCCTGGCCCTAGGTCAGGGCGGGGCAGGAAACACACAGTCAGGAGCTCAGGCTTCTGAGCATCTGGTGCGAGGGGGAGACTGTCACCCATGAGTGGGGTGGCAGGGGGGACACAGGCCCACCCGCTCCACTGCGTCCCAGCCCAGGGCCCTAGTAGCGGCAGAAGACTCGCTGCTGTCAGTGGGGATCCTGACCGCAACACACTGACATTGGTTCTGGCCCTGCTGTGGCCAGGCCAGGGTCGGCTGCCCCCGGGCTACTTCCGGACTCCTCCTTGTAAGGTACCTGGGTTTGGCTGGCGTCCTCGGTGGTTTCCAGCACCATCGATTCCTCTGGGTAACTAGCGAAGGGTAGGCGTGGCTCCTCGGGGTAGCGGGCCGAGGGGTAGGCGTGGCTCCTCCTTGGGGTAGCGGGCCGAGGGGTAGGCGCGGCTGGCCCGGCCAGTCCTCGGGTCGGCCACGGCCTCCCCGGCGTTCCCCAACCTGGAGCTAGGCCACAGGCATCTGACCTCTCCTGCGGCTGGCTTTCCACTGAGCTATGCCGCGGGGCTTTTCTACTTCGTGACCTCTGGGGGACGGGTGCAGGACCCACTGGCTCCACCCACGTTGGTGCTAGGGGAGGCTCGTCCCTCCGTGGGGCTGTGGGGTATCCCACCGCCTTGCTACAGATGCATTGAAGGGCTAATATTCTTTCTGTCATGGCCAAGAACACTTCAGTGCCAAGAATCACTTAGTTATTTTGATTTAGTTTCACTTACATGTGGAGTATGAAAATTCAGACTTTTGTAAAAGCCTGACAGTATTTGACCTCAATAAGACTTATTCTTCAGTATTGATTTGTCTTTTTTTAACTCCTTTTTAGATGTTCTTTGAAGATCACATTGATGATGCCAAATATTGTGGTCACTTGTATGGCCTTGGTTCTGGTTCTTCCTATGTACAAAATGGCACAGGAAATGCATATGAAGAAGAAGCCAACAAACAGTCATGACATGAAATGGGAGGTCATCTTTTCTGAGCTCTGTGTGCTTGTATATAGGTTTTATCTCTGGTTGAATCCCTTGGACAATGAGGCTTCCCCCTACGCCCCTTCTCAGAACACTTTATTTTCTGCCTTTTATGTACTAAATCTGATTGTTCCTATCACAGATCTGATCTTGATATGTTGAATTTTCTGAGTTAAATTTGGCCTTTGTACCTACTCTATCTCTCAAGAAGCATGTGTAGGATCAGTGTGGCAGAGAGAAGGGGAAAGCTAAATCATAATGAATATTCTGGTAAACTTACCTAGTTGGTCTTAGTTTTGTTTTTTCTCCCTTCCCCCAAATTAACTAGCACTGATTTGTAACTAACTTCCCTGTTTCATGTCTGTCCCTTCCAGTATGCAGGTGTTTTAGCTATTCAAGATTGCGGACCATCAAATTTGCACTTTAGAGAGTGACTCTGTCTCAGATCCTCTGTTTTATCTGAAGTTTTGGGTGTTTTTGCCCTGAGCTAGAAAAATAATAGTCTGCCAACTTTAGCAACTTCACACTGTATTCCTTGGTTTTTGAGCCTGCAGAACATAACACATTCACTGCATAACAATGTTTGTTTGTTCAAGCAAAACAAACTACTGAAATCTTAGTAACTGCTGTTATCTTACTGGTGTTCAGTCTTCCAAGCACTTCCTGAGCACATCAGCTTCTAATTGGCCTGCTGCTTTAAAGCCACTCTGTGATGGAAGAAAATGTTTGAAAACCAGCTTTACACCCTTCAGGACAAATTGTGTGAGACTTACTTTTGTATTTTTGCCATTGAGCTGAAAATCTGAGGATATTGGAACTGCAGTGGTTCTATTATGGCACACTTCCCTGGATTCAGTTCCTAGCTTTTATTCCAGTAATGTATTACCTAAATATTTTTTATTTTTTAAAGTCATATTTATTATGTACTTGATTTGATGATTTTTGCAAGTGAGTTTAGTTAAGGATAAAACCCAAAGACCTGAAGTAAACTTTATATTGAATTGAATGATTAAATTAGAAGGAAGATAACTTGTGCTTTTGTAGTTGCTACAAAGACAGATGGTACAGATATATTTGTTGTAAAACAACAAAATATAAATTACTTATAGCTAATAAAGTTACCTGAGGAGTGTAATGCTAGTTTTATTTTTTGAGTGTATCTTAGCAATATATTTTATATATATTGTTTTAAAGGACTGTACTGTACTTTAACCATGCATAGCAGAGCAATTGTGCAGGAAGACTTTTTTGGGATTGAATAGCTAAATACTAGCCTGAAATGATGGAATGCACGCCTCAGTGTGTATGTGTGTGTGTGTTATCTACACTGAAATCAATATTAGCAAATCTCCAAATGTTCGCCAAATTGATCTGTTTACCTTGTACTTTAACATATTCTTTTTTCATTAAGTTACAATAATATAACTGGGTGGTCCTTTTTAAAACAAGAACAAATGATTTGCATAACAGAGGGTATTATTTGTTTTTAAAGCTTTTGTAAATAAAGGCTTCAGAAATGTTTTCTTACATATCTACAGACTGGTAGTTTTGTTCTGAAACCTTTTACTGGAATGTATATTGTACCCCATTCAGTCCCTGTATACTTCCTATTCCACTATGCATACTAATTCATCTTTCTGGTGTCTGAAAGAGCTATTAGCAACTCCCCAAGTGATGCCAGCACCAGCTTATTTCTGCCAATTGAGAGCATAGCAGGAGTCTGTTTCTATGTCCAAATTATTTCACTGCTATTAGCCTAATTTACGAGTGTATGGGTACAACTACCCAATTAATAGTTTTTCTCTTCAGGTATCTAGAGACTGTCACTCTAAGAGTTGTGCTGAATCACTCTTTATTTTGACCTCTGGGTCAGATGGGCATCAATAAGGACACTGTTAGCATTTAACAATTAAACATAGGTGCGTATCTTTAGGCCCAATCCTGCTTTCATTTGAATATCCAAATCACCTGATGACTTCAGTGGAAGTTGAGAGTATACTAGGAATGCAGGATTGGGCCCTTTGAAGGTCTGATGTACTTGTGTTAGACAAGCTGTTAAGATTTAAAACACTATGATGGGATTATATGTGGTTATGCCTTGAGGAAAACTGGTTTTTTGTGGATTTTTTTGTATTTGATTAATTGTTGTTTTGAAGAATCTTCTCAGCTGTGGATAAAAGGGACTTTTAGAAAAGTTTTTGAAATATTCCTTGGTTATTTGCAGTGATAGACATTTCTGCTCTTTCCCTCTCCTTCATAATGGGAAGGGTCTTATGAATGTCTTGCTCCAAAACACACCAATCAATGTGAAATCAGGATTCAGTTTTATCACTGAGAGAAAACTCTTAAACGGCTTTGATCCGCCCACGTACTTAAGAGCTGTCATCACACACAGTCCCAGCTATAGAGCATGTATTCAGATTTCTTTTGCAAAGTTAACACAAAGGAGATTTGGTTTCTAACAAGGAGCTATTTAACCTGGGGAGGAATGTCAGTTTTTTGAAAACGGGCACCTCTCATATTGTGAGCCAGCATGTTGTAAATTGCAGATTTTCTTAAAAAAATAGGAAGAAGCAAATTACTCCTGTCCATTTAAAATTGGAATAACTTGTTTCAAAGGTGGACATGGTGATGTCTTTGTGGAGATAAATCCATGTACATATTTTAAATTGAACTATTTCAGAAATTTAGAGATGTGCCTGCTTATTATAAGTCCAAGAATTTTCATCTCAAGCCCCTGCTTACCTCGCAGCCTCCTCTAAATCTGTCACTAGATAGGCTTATGTCAATAACAAACAAGGCTGTTATTTATTTGTTGTGCCTAATGTTCCTTTTCTTGTCACTTGCATTTTGGCATCTCTGGTCAGCTGTGTCCAACTCTCTGGGCACTGGTTTATATGTTATAGCTAAGTAGGTGCTGGGTGGTGTGATGGCTAAAGAGATAAGATCCATCAGATATTCAAGAAATTCAGCAAATTATTGAGAACTTAGTAGTGTTCTTTGAGTGATTGTCCACACAGATTCCACTCTTATTGCACATGCACCACATGCGAGTGAGAGGTTTCTTTTAGCAGCAGGTTCTGTTGGGGCTAAGCCTGTGCCCTAGGTGTTTGTGCACACCTCCTATCAATGGCAGAGCAGGCCCAATGGTTTCTCTTTACTGCCTGTGGCAGCAAGATGGAAGCCCTGCAGTTGTTCACTTTCTTTGCACATTGTGATTGTTTTAATTCTTTTTTTACTACCGTTGTCAAAACAATAATTCAGTTAGCCTAAATGGCTCCCCTTACAGAAGTACTAGCATTATGGCAGAAGCCAAGTTAACTGGGAATTAAAGTCTATCCCTCATGTGACACTGCAATGTTTACTGATGATGGGCACTTCTGCTCCCTGGTTTTTCTTGGAGAAGGACATGTCCCCAGAGTGATGTTCCATCTGCTTGCTCTTTCTCCAAGTGAACTCAGAGTGAGGGAAGCCCCTTTCAAGCTGTTTCTACGAGAGCAAATTGATGCAAGCCGTCTCAGATGCTGAGAAGAGAGCTGCAGCCAGGTCTCTACTGTCCAATTAGACTCTCTGTAAGTGTGTTGGTGAGCAGTGATTCCACCTCAAGCTCCTGGGCCACATCTACTCAGAGGCCCCACTCATCTGCCACTACATCGGCACTGATGTCCGACAGGCAGAAAGGAGCACCGTTCCAAAGATAAGCCCAGACATAGGTTGTCATCCCTGGCACCTGGCAGAGTGAGACAAAAGGGTCAACAGGGCCATGACTCATCCTGGGTTCATTCATCCAAGGGCCTGAGAAGGTCCATTCCATTTCCCTGGTACAGACTCCCAGTGGACAGCGCTGTTCTCTGTAGCAACCCTTCAGCATTTACCCCAGCACTGAGTACCTTGGTACCCAAGCCTCAGCACCAAGTGCCTCTGTACCGTACACATTGGTACACACTACCTTGGCACCAACTATGTCTGCACCTAAACCATACACAGTGCCCAGTGATGTCTCCTCCAAAAAATTAAGGGAGGTGATAGCTAAACCCCAGCCTTGGAGTCACTGGTATGCTGGGCTCCCAGTACCAACCTCCTCTGTGGAGACAGAGTTCACCTGACAGAACTGCTTCTCCCTTAATGGAGATACAGTCCTTTTCCTCCTCCTCTGCTGAGCATAGCGGAGAATCATCTCCCACTTGTCCACCATCCCCTCCCTGGATAGCCAGCTGGGTGACAGGAAGGGATTGTAGGAAGGAATCTGTGAGCGGTAATAATAGTCTAGGCTTCACAGGGATCATCCTATCTGTACTGTCCTCAGTTTCTTCCACCTCAATATTCCTATCCGTACTAGTTTGGTCTTACTGGTGTGCAGCTGTACTGTAGGGCAGAATTGCCCTTCCCAAAAAGACAAATCAAGCCACTTTAATCAAGCCAGTTACTTAAGGCAGGAGGAGAGTTGAAGAATATCATCAGCTACCAGAGGAAGTGCAGCTGATCTCTGCTGTAATCTCATCCTCCTCTGATGAGAGAGCCATTAATGTATCAATGTAGGTGGACACACTATTAGCCAGGATGGGTAAGGAATGGTGTCCCTAGCCTCTGTTTGTCAGAGGGTAGAGATGGATGGCAGGAGAGAGATCATTTGATCATTGCCTGTTAGGTTCACTCCCGCTGAGGCACCTGGCATTGGCCACTGTCAGCAGACAGGATGCTGGGCTTGATGGACCCTTGGTCTGACCCATTATGGCCATTCTTATGTTAATTCCAGGACCTGATGAAGTGCATGACAGAAACCTTGGATATACCCCTGGAAGTAGTCAAAGAGCTTGTGCTGGTGTTCTCGAACATTTAACATTCTTTTACAATAGGGAAACAAATCTAGTCTGCTCATAAAGGTCTACTGGAGCCTGCAAGAACTTCTGACATACACCTGTATCCATCCCAGCCAAATCAAAGTTGCTGACAAGATGTACCAGGGCCCTCCTAAAAGTTCTGAGTATTTCTATTCACATCCAACACCAGGTTCTCTCATAGTGGCAACAGTTCAGGAGAAATCAAAACAGCAGAGTCCTCGTAAATCCATACTTAGAGAAGAGAACCCAAACAGATTGTCCCTGTTCAGTCACTAGGTGTATTTGTCAGCTAGTCTTCAGATGAGGCTAACAATGTGGCCCTTCTCTCAAAATATAACTGTCTATAAAATGAAACAGCTTGTTCTAATTTTAAAACTCTGTAAGGAACACCAGGATGACCTGAAGCCTATTGTGATGGAGGGACAACTGACTGCCCATAGATCATTACAGGCTGTGCTAGATGTTTGATACTATGGCACATGCAATGACCATTGCAATAGCCATGAGGGGTTATCATAGCTTCAATCCTTGGCCATTTCCAGGGAGGTATAGGCAACATTGAGGACCTCCCATTGTTGAACAGTTTGTTACCCTCAAATGGAACAAATGAGGCCTTCTGCTCCTCAAAGAAATCACAGGCAACTGGGCTCTTTGGGCCTCTGTCCCGACCTCTAGAAATTAGCAGTCATGCCAACAACTGCCCTGCCAACAGCGCCCTGTTGTAGGAACATCTCCCTACCAATAGAGTCCTGCCCTTTGGTTTTTCTACAGCATCCAGGGTATTCAAGAATGGAGCAATAGTGGCAGCTCATTTACGGAGAATCCAGGTCTGTCCTTACCTCAGTAACTGGCTGACTTGTGGAAGATCACCTCAACAGGTGACCGACTCTAGTCAAGTAATTCTAAAGATCTCTGCTTTACTAGGTCTCAAAACCAACAGCCAGAAATCCATATTGATTCCACCTCCGAGTGTAGAGTTCATAGGAGCACATGTTAGACTGAAAGTCAATGAGAACTCACTTTCCATGAGAGGACTTGGTTAGTTTGGAATCTATCAATCAACTAAAAGCTCATCCAAAGATACCAATGAAAACATAACTTAGACTTCTAGGTCACACAATATGCCAGACTTCACCTATGCTGCATGAAGGGGTGGCTGAAATTTGTGTATCTATCGAGCATTCACCACATGAACATGATGGTCACAGTCCCATAAGAAGGCATCTCCTCATTAAACTTGTGGAAAGATCCTCTTCAGGCATGCAATGAAGTACCTTCTCAACAGCTTTGTCTGCCAAATTTCTGATGACACCTGCCTCCACTCAGGGATGGGGGTATCTTTAAATTCAGGGCCTGTGGTTCCCTCATTAAGCTTGTCTCCACAAACATTCTAGAGCTCAGACTTATCCTGGCATGCAAAGTATTCTTGACTCCTCTTCAGGGATCCACAGTAAAGATGTGGACAGCCACTGTCACAGTGACAGATTGTCAACAGGCAAGTATGGATGATCTTGCTCCCACTTCTGTCAGGAAGTCACGTGTCTATGGAATTGGTTCATTCCAAACCAAATCACACTGGTGTGTCTGCACCTTGCTGGCCTTCAGGACACCTCGGCAGATCAACTGAGAAAGCAATTCTCTGACAACCATGAGTCTCTCAAAGACTCAGTCCTACAGAACATCTTTCACAAGTGGGCATTCCCTTGTGAAACCAGAAAGAGACCTGGTTACCACAGATCAGAACAAGTGTCAAATATTCTGCCCAGAGGGGTTCCAGCCCAGTCCTGGTATTAGGATTTTATTAACATTTCAGCAACCTCCTCCCCCATCTGCTCTGTCCAAAACAATCTCTCAGAATAATCCAGACCCATCTGACAGCCTGGATGCTAGTTGGATGATGTATAGCTGAGGTTCAGAACAGTCTGCTCCAAGGCAGGAAACCTTCAACCAGACTGACTCTTATAAAGCTAAATAGAAAAGAGTTTCTATTTGGGCATCTCGACACAAGCTTTCTCCCTTGACATCACCAATTTTCAGTAATACGGGACTGTTTGCTAGTCCTGATCTGGATTTTCCATCAGCTCCATAAGGACCTACCTACTCAATAATAGCAAATGAAACACAATTTCCAGCAGAATGTGTGCAACAATGACCTAGTCGTTGTGACAAGATTTAGAATCCTTTCATAAAAGTCTGCCAACAGATGTGTTTCTGGTGTGTTTTAGGACAAGAGGACTTTTTGTTTGCTTGCTGGTTTCAGTGAATGGATTGTAAAAGGATTACTCTGAGTGGCATTGTTTATATTGAAGTCTGTTATGCTTGTCTTTTGCCTGTGGTGGAGTGAAAAATCACAAACTGCTTCAGTGCATGTTCCCCCTTCCTACAGTGAAGTTCCGCTCCAGGGTACCCAGGCTTGACAGTACTAATCCTTTTCGTAAACTCATAGGACTGAAAGGGACTTCGAGAGGTCATCTAGTCCAGTCCCCTGCACTCATGGCTGGACTAAGTATTATCTAGACTATCCCTGACAGCTGTTTGGAGATTTTTTTAAGAGCAGGTTAGAAGATTCCACAACCTCCGTAGGCAATTTATTGCAGTGCTTAACCACCCTGACAGGAAGTTTTTCCTAACATCCAACCTAAACCTCCCTTGCTGCATTTTAAGCCCATTGCTTCTTGTCCTATCCTCAGAGATTAAGGAGAACAATTTTTCTCCCTCCTTCTTGTAACAACCTTTTATGTCCCATCTGTCTTCTCTACTCCAGACGAAACAAACCCAGTTTTTTCAATCTTCCCTCAAAGGTCATGTTTTCTAGACCTTTAATCATTTTTGTTGCTCTTCTCTGGATTTATTCCAATTTGTCCATATCTTTCCTGAAATGTGGCACCCAGAACTGGACACAATACTCCAGTTGAGGCCTAATCAGCGCTGAGTAAAGCAGAAGAATTGCTTCTCATGTCTGTCTTACAACACTCCTCCGAATACATCCCAGAATGTTTGCTATTTTTTTTGCAAAAGTGTTACACTGTTGACTCATATTTAGCTTGGGATCCACTATGACACCCAGATCCCTTTCTGCAGTACTCCTTCCTAAGCAGTCATTTCCCATTTTGTATGTGTGCAGCTGATTGTTTATCTAAATAATTGATGAAGATATCGAACAGAACCAGACCCAGAAATGATCCCTGTGGGACTTCACTCAATTATGCCCTTCCAGCATGACTGCGAACCACTGATAACTACTCTCTGGGAACGATTTTCCAACCAGCTATGCACCTACCTTTTAGTATCTAGGTTGCATTTCCCTAGTTTGTTTATGAGAAGGTCATGCGAGACAGTATCAAAAGCTTTACTAAAGTAAAGATATACCACGTCTACCGCTTCCACCCTATCCACAAGGCTTGTTACCCTGTCAAAGAAAGCTATCAGGTTAGTTTGGCCCGATTTGTTCTTGACCAATCCATGCTGACTGTTACTTATCATCTTATCTTCTAGATGTTTGCAAATTGTTTGCTTAATTATTTGCTCAATTATCTTTCCGAGTACAGAAGTTAAGCTGACTGGTTTGTAATTCCCCGAATTGGCCTTATTTCCCTTTTTATAGATGGGCACTATATTTGCCCTTTTCCAGTCTTTTGGAATCTCTCCTGTCTTCCATGACTTTTCAAAGATAATCGCTAATGGCTCAGATATCTCCTCTCTCATCTCCTTAAGTATTCTAGGATGCATTTCATCAGGCCCTGGTGACTTGAAGACATCTAACTTGTCTAAGTAATTTTTAACTGGTTCTTTCCCTATTTTAGCCTCTGATCCTACCTCATTTTCACTGACATTCACTATGTTAGACGTCCAATCATCACCAACCTTCTTGGTGAAAACAAACATAAAAGTCTGGGTAAGGATAAAAGGGGTAAGGAGGAATAGTCTACACTTACTGTAGTTGTGCTTAGGGGAATGAAGAATTGCTGGTTCTGCTAGCGGTGATTTCCTGCTGAATGTGAAGATCTGGTTTTGCTGACAGCTGCTAGTTGCCTCCTAGGGGGAGTGCTGAAGAGGCCTTGCTGTCTTATCACTCATTTGCTGAGATAGGGTTGGGTTGTTTGGTTTTTTTTGCCAGGTTGGTCTTTCCTTATCATTGTGAAATTCTGGCTTCAGTGATCTATTGGGAGGAGGAGAGGAAGGGAAAAATCCTCTGCAGTAGAACATCAGAGTTAAACACCTCGGGAATGGAGATTGTTCGTAACTCGGAAATCTTTATAACTCTGAACAAAACATTATGGTGGTTCTTTCAAAAATTTATAACTGAACATTGGCTTAATACAGCTTTGAAACTTTACTATTGTAGCCAGGGGGCGTGGTTTCCCTCCCTGACAGACTGGGAGAGAGCTGCGACCGCCCTCTGGTGGGCAGAGCCAGGACACCCATGACCACCCGCTAGAAGCAGAGGGGTGGGAAAGGAACAGGAAATATAAAAGACCGGCCCTCCAGCTCAGTTGAGGGAAAGCTGCCAGAGGAGCAGGACATCTCCCCACCACTGCTGGAGCTCAGACCCAACGGAGGCCGCTACAGCGCCAGAGACCCGGAGCTGTTAGAGCTGCCACTAGCCATTCACCCCTGCAAGACAAATGACAACCCAGGAACCAAGGTACCCCCTGAATGGGAGTGTAGGAGGGAGCCCAGGGAAGCCAAATAGGGTTTGGCTGCGTTATTGATAGCAAGCCAGCCAGCGTGTTACTGGATTCCACCCTGACCCAGTGGCAGATCACTCCGCCACTGCTAGGGCCCACTGTTGTGGGCCTGCATCCCCCTAGTCATGCCCCCCTGCCCCTCCCCAAGGGGCCTGCCTTGGTCTGTCATCCACCCGAGCTAGGATGCCACACAGTTTTGCTATCTGCCCCACCAGAGAGCTGATCTCCCTAGACTGCTGTGCTGCTCTGCCTGACTGCAAGCCAGAGCCATTGACTGTTGGCTGCCCCACCCTGGCTTAGGGCCAGGGCTCACAGACTCAATTGCTGCTGGCCTGGACAGCAGGCTTGGGCCTACTAACTGTTGGCTAATTCCCCCCTGAACTGAGTTGCTCCAGAGGCATTGTAGAGAGGGGGCGTGGTCTCCTTTCCTGACTGATGGAGAGAGCTGCAACTGCCTTACAACTATGCAGAAGAAAATGCTGCTTTCCCTTTATTTTTTAGCAGTTTATATTTAACACTGTACTGTATCTGCTTTTTTTGGCTCTCTGCTGCTGCCTGATTGTGTACTTCTGGTTCCAAATGAAGTGTGTGGGCGACTGGTCAGTTCGAAACTCTGGTGCTCATAACCCTGAGGTTCTACTGTACATAAATGTTGTTGCTAGCTTGATTTGAGATGGGGAAGGCAATCAGATATGAATATTTGGCTGCATTACACAAACATACTTTATATTCTTTCTTCCCTTTTGTGTAATGACACAGGATCGCCGTTCCATTGCTGCCTGCCTGCCCCTTTTGCTGTCTTTGACCATCCCAACTGAAAATAGTATTAGCTGAAGTACAACAGTTTTCTGCAACAGTACAACTTTTAGACTAGTTTTTGGAAATACTCTGTTGAATTAAGAGCCATAGTTTCTGGGCCTTGCACAATGTAATGCAAGCACTTAAGCGTCTACGAAAAATAAGACCAAATATAAGCTAAATCAGTGGTGAAGGCCCTGTGGCTCAACATTCAAAGGTGGCTGATTGAGTCATAGTGGTCAGGCCCCAGCTCTTTCCTCAGTGTCCCTGAGTAAAGAAAGCTGGCACACTTTTTTGTTTGCTTGTTTGTGGTTACTCTAACAAAAATATTTATCTACCTGGCAAGATCGATCTAAAAATAAAATTTGTATAAACACAGTGTATGAATGTCAGAGCTTGTCAAAGGTGTTAGACTGATAATGCTAGAGCCCTTTATTTATCTACAGATCTGGTCCAGCACAGCCAGTGGCAATGAAAGTTCCTCTATATTCCTTCATAGAAGGATCTTCTGTATGGGATAAAGTATAGTGCAGTCCCTTTATCATCTTTCATCACAGAGCTACCGTCCTTTGGGGAATGATGCCTAAGCTTGCTTCAACAACAGCGAGAATTGATTGTGTGTTCCTGTATTTCAGATTGCTACAGCTTCCTGTTACAGGTATTCTACTTTCCTAAAGAGGGCCTTCTGTGTATAGTGAGAACTAGTCTGTTTTCAGAAGAATCTTCACAAAATGAAGAGGGGCAGGAGCAGTGGCTAGTGGCATTCTGCAGCTAGGCCAAGAATGTTTGGCAAAAAGAGTGAGTAGCCACAAGAAACTGACATAGGCCTTAAAGGACCAGGACCAGGCACAGCTTTTTCAGTATTGGGCGTCTACAATAAGGCAGGTGATTGCAGCTCAAAATACTAGGACTTATTTGTCGGATTCCAAGATGACCAAGTAATCAGATGGTAAGAATTTACCTAGACAGAATAAAGGAGGGGCTTTTCAGAATTGGAGCCAAAGAGGAGGTGGGCTCTAGAGAATGGTGAATTTGAAGGAAGATTTCTCATTCACGGTTCCAGGATGAAGAAAATAATTGCGGACAATGAGAGAACTGATAAAGGGTTGCAAAGGGAGGCTGTAGGCAAGTATATTGTGCCAATACAGATGCCTTTTGATCAAATACAGAGCAGCAGATGCATCAGTCATGTCAAAGTGTGCTGCTTTTTGTTTGGTTTCTTTTACAGCATCATTGATGACAACAGTTAGCAGAGAAGACGCGTGATCTTCTTCAGTTCTGCGCACTATTCAGTCTGTCAAAGGTCAGATTCAGCCACACTTACGTTAGTGCAGTGTTGTGTGGGGACAAGGGATCTAACTGCTGCTGTGTGCAATTATGCACAGGAACTCTCCCAGCTCTAGAGTCAGCTGCAACATGCTATGGAGCAATGTTGCTGATGGATGCTGTTCCTGTTGCTTTAGGTTAAATCCTATTACGTGCCCTGTGGTCTTAGTGCTAACTTGACCCAAACATCCATCCACAAAAGTGGTACTGGTGGGGGAGATACAGTGAAATTCAATCCACCTCCCAGTAGCTATGTTGGACGTGTTATTGGCACAGTGCTGTAAAATACGTGAGGGGTTCACTAAGTCAGCTTTGTGGAAGAAAACATGGACTGGGAGAATAGGGTTTAGTAATGCAGCAGGCTAACATAATGCATGTGCAATTTCACCTACTGTATGTAATTTGTTGTACATGAGGGGTACAGTAGATTTCCTAGCCTTTGTGGGTGGATAGTGTGATCTGTTCAATATATTTGCTTTTGTACCTGTCTTATTCTGAAGAAATTCTTACACTAAGAAAAGTACAGCCTCCATAGTCAGCAGCAAATTCATGATCACACAATTTCATCTTTTAGCAGCTGTGTATGCACTGTAATACTGTCAGTCATCCATCATGCACATAGCCAACATGTTTGATGTGGAGGGGGAAGTGCATGAGATGATTAATCCCAAGGCCCCTGAGTTGAGCTGCATTTGAACTGGTACCTGCTAGCCAAATATTTACTCCACTGAGCTAACCCGATTCCACTTTACCTAAGTCGAGTGGCAGCTACCGATCTCTATCTATGCTGCCCTTATCAAAGGAGAGCCTGGGTTAACGTCTGCTACCTGTTACCAAGCACTTAGGCGCAGAACTAAGCAGCTACGATGACAGCATGCTGTTTCACAATATGTAGCATGCAAGTGAAAGGCAGCCTCTAGCCAAAAACGGAATGTTGGACATGCCTTTCATTGAGACATTGGTATGAAATGCCAATTTCTTTAGGCTTGCTTTTTGGTTGGAAGGAGGCATTTCTCTTTTACTGGAAAGTCAGCTCTCTTCACCATGCTCAGAGCCAGAAAAGACTTTGGCCTAACTCCATCTTAAAAGCATGTTTATTTTTATTAGCTTGTCTTAATGGAGTTTGTACAGTCTTCCTGCACCATCAGTATTGGGGGAGTTGTCATCCCACAAAGGGAGTCTAGGTTAAGAAATGATGCAGCGTATGAAAGCTTAAGTGCTATGCAGGTGGAAAATAAAGCTCCCCTCTTGAAATGTCTGCTTATTGGTTTATCAGCACAAGAACTGCCTACTATACCAACAAGTATAGACTTTTAAGTGGCCTGAATTTTGCATTACATGCAGCATTTTGAATCATGTTCCTCTTTTTGAACTTTGAATCCTGACACTCATCACTCCTCTTCCAGATGTAGGCAGAGAACCCTGAAAATCTTAATCAGTTGAACATGCAGAATTCAACAGCTGTGCAACCCCCAGCCATGGGTTCAATCCCTCAGTATTGACTGGTCCAGGGGGAGGGTACTTACTCTAACTCTAGTAGGGGTATATGTTTGGGATCTGAGGGTATTGAGTTCAAATGCTACTGATGATCTAATGGCTATTTAGGGTTATACATTAAAACTTATGAGTTTTCTTTTTAAACTAGCTTTAATTCATACAATGATAAAAACATCCCTAAAAACAACTTTCAGAGTTTTATACACTGTCAATTATAGTTCAATGGACAACAGAATGCAGATGTTCCCTATTTTTGTAATTTCACAGCAGCAAGTTTAAGTATTGCAGTCCAGTGTTCTTTCATAGGCAACTATAGAGAAGACACTTTTATATTTGTTTTCCATTCTGTTTGAAATAACCCTTGACTCTGTGCTGGCATAGCATTGGAATACATCACTGAACACTGTAACTATGGCTCTGGGAAGTTCATGTTTCTACAGTGGCAATGCTGAAAACTTATAAGGAGAGCATAAGAGTCAAAGTAGGTAGAGGACTGGGGAGACATAAGTTGTTATATTAATTGAGCCATTGATCTGACAGATGGCTTCAGCTTTATCTTTCTGCCTCCTACAGTCTGTTTAAATTGAAAAGCTCTTCAGGAAGAGACTCTTTCGCTGTACCATCTTCATCCCCTCCCCAAATCTTGGTCTGGGCAAATACAATGGCTGAAGGTGCTTATGAGAGTGGCAGGTCTCTTACAATAGTTGTTAACACAGAGATGATTCAAATGGCACTTCACCCTGTGGCTGATGAGCTCAGGCTTGCTCTTTGTCTGATCCAGTACTGAGCTTCCCTCATGGCCATGTAAACTGCTGTTATAAGATCAGGCAGGTTCAACACTTTAATACTGATGTTTTCATACTTCCCATTCTAAAAACAAATGCCTGATTTCTTGCATAAGCCAAATGAGTTTAATTTTTTTCCAGCAGCAAGTTAACATGATACAAAAATACATAATACTGTTTACACAATACAAACAAGCAACAAGCTCCTCCAGGGTTTGTGCAACATCACTAGTTATATACACTTCTCAGCAATGCATACTCAGTGACCATTGTTCCAGAACAACTAAGACAGAATATCCAAATTGGTTTGAAATAGAGCTCTTGGAAGCTGATTTTTCTGACAGCTCAGCTTGTAAGTTGTTTTGCTACCAGCGGTAAAGAGGGAGAAATGCCATAAGAGGGAGTTAAAGGCATACCTAATGTGCACGCTGGTGTTCTCCAACTTGCTTCTTGCTCTTAATGCAGTCTTGAAGGAAGGGGAGAGCATCAATCTGTAAAGTGAGAATTTCCTCCCCCACCTGTGAAATTGTCCTGTATATTATAAATGCTTCCTAGAGATAATCTAAAGCAGCAATCCATTTGGTACCTAGTTAGGTGTGTTGCATGCAAAACACCACATTGGGCTCATAGCTGAAGCAGTGAGATAGTGGGCCAAAGTCTGATCTCAGTTACAGCTGTAGACTAGCTCTATAAAATCAATGGCAACGTTCTTATGTAACAGAGGAGAGTTGGGTCCATTGTTTCTTCCTCTCAGCAATTCATTCTCCCCTGCTGTTATGCAGTTTATCATTTATTTCATACACAGTATTACTGTAACCTGGAGCCTCAGCTACTACTTTTCAAATGGGAGCTGCAATCACTTTCACTCCTACTATCTGCCAAAATTCTGTATTTTGCTGCCTAACACCATTTACAGTTTATGCAATGGGATGGCTTGCACCCAAATGGTTAGTTGTCCTACAAAAGCTTCATCGTAAATTAGTGGGACTGGTTTAATACCCTAACTGTGGGTTGAGATGGATAAAATATAAAAAGGCTACAAAAAATTTTTTAACTCACACAGATATTAAATTGACCAGTAGGAAGGGACAGCATGATATTGCAGTCTTGAACACATTATGGAGTAAAAGACAACAGTCATTCAAAATATTGTGCAGCATTAAATAGGGCCATGCACTGAAACAGGCCCTGATAGAAATATATCATGTTCTTCATTCACCCTAGCTGTTAGCATTTAATTTTTGTCTGGACAAATTTAAAAAAAGAGACTTGAAATATCTACCACTATCGTTATAGTAGAGACATGACTAGTTTTCATTGTTTAACACCTAATACTCAAGTGATGCACTAACATTAGTATTGACAGTATCAGACCACTTTAATTGTAGCTCATGATCTCCATAAAGACATGTCTGAATAAAAATTCTAAATGGGTGTTAACCACCACTTAACTGCACCTGGTCTACAATTACAAAATGAGTAAATGGATGGAACTTAACATTTAAGTTTTCAATTTTCTTTATAAAAATGCAAATTCCATCTCTCTCTGGAGGAAGAGATTTCTAAATTACAACAAAATATTTCAGTTGCACAATTCGGGTTCAGAATCTGGACTTATGCACCAGCAGATGTCTAGTTATTAGTTAAGATAGCCTATCTCCTAGAACTGGAAGGGACATTGAAAGGTCATTGAGTCCAGCCCCCTGCCTTCACTAGCAGGACCAAGTATTGATTTTGCCCCAGATCCCTAAGTGGCCCCCTCAAGGATTGAACTCACAACCCTGGGTTTAGCAGGCCAATGCTCAAACCACTGAGCTATCCCTCCCTCCAAGTTATAGTTATTTTAGTCTAATTTTTAATGAATATATTTTGTTAAAATTACTGGACACTCAAGTCTATTTAATTCATACAAATTATCTACACATGTGTGGGGGAATTCATTCTGACTTAATTATAGATCCTGGACCAAATATGGGGACACTCAGGCCCACCCAGAATCCCACTGAAGTTGGTGTCCCTCTGGGTGCAGGGGTATGTCTGTGCATCCCAAGATCGGGGCCATAATTAACAGGAAGTAGGCAACAACAAGCAGTTGCTGGTACAATAAATATAAAGCATTGTGTTCTTACATTAAAAAAAAATACAAGTCTTACACATTAGAGTGCAGTCAAGTGGCCAGCAAGTTTATGCTGATCAAAAGAATCAATGTAATCTGACAATTCCCAGTGTTAGTCTTGCTCTTGAGTTGTTGTTTCCCCCCCAAAAAGAATCTCATATTTGCACTGTAACATCACAACAGCTGAACCACAGGGCTTTGAAAAGAAGCTATTTTCCCTCATGTATAAAGCTTTCAGAGTGCTCATCAAACACAAGTAAGGAATAATAATTTAACGAGGGCCCAGACAGCCTTGTCCTACCATATAATCCGCAGTAGGGGGTGGTGGTGGGGACTCCATAATGATCCCCTCTCAAATTGTTCTGGCAGGCATGTGGGGAATTTGCCTCTGCACACAAAACAGGCTTTAGTGATCACACACACAACGCCCATGTGTGCACATGGAGGCCTTCCATCTCTACCCCTTCCTCCCTGGAGTGAGAGAACTGCTCCAGGAACCCCTCTGAGGCTGTATTATTTTTAAACCCTTATTTCTGCAAGGCTGGAGAAGGGCTGAAGTGCATTCCCTGTTCCCAACCCACCCAAGAGAGCTGTCCACATTCTACTTCCTTCCCCTGCACGATCCAGGGCCGGCACCAGCTCAGCAAGCAGGTGCTTGGGGCGGCCAACGGAGGGGTGGTACGTCCGGCTCTTCGGTGGCGGGTCCCTCACTCCCTCTCTGAGTGAAGGACCTGCTGCCGAACTGCCACCAAAGAATGAAGAGCTGCCGCTGAAGTGCCACAGATCGCGATCGTGGGTTTTTTTTTTTTTTTTAATTTTTGCTGCTTGGGGCGGCAAAAACCCTGGAGCCGGCACTGCACAGATCCCAACCGTACTGAGAGCTCTTCTTATAGGTCAGAGGAGAAAGGAGATCCAGATTTAGAGGGAGCCCCTTCTGGTATGAATTTTATAGCAAAGACACTGTATATTAAATCATATTTACTGTTCTATAGTAATATATTACATTAAACTTACATTAAAGCTAATTTTTAAGAAGTTGGACAGGTCACTTCATATGTATATATTTTTAATGCACACTCGTGATTTTGACAGACAACACTGCAGCTGAATAATTACTTACAAACAAATATACAGATTATGAAAGCATGAAAAATTAAAGTATTTAGTCCTTTCTCCACCCCATCTCTCTGACCATGTTGACAGTTACCAACTTTTAAATAAACACTGATACAAAGTAAACTCCTGACAGAGTAACACTGAGGAAACAAGTAGTGTGCTATGGAAATCCTGGCTGCAAAATGTTTACATGGATCATGTAAACAGTGTTACCCTCAAAGGCTAGTTTAAAAATGTTCCACATCTATAGATCATATGCTGGCACTTCCGGTAATGGAATCTATAAGAGATGTCTTCAGATGAGTAAAATTTAAGGAAAAAACTCATTCATAATAATAAAAAAACATTAAAATCATACCTGCTGAACACTTTTCCACAGAGACATTGGTCCATGTCAGATCAAAATTCTCATCTAAAAGTGATAATGGTTAAAACCATCCCAGGAGAACAATTTTGAACCAATGATCTAGAATTATTTGGTTGTAAAAGAGGTAATAATAATAATGTTTTACTGGAAACAAAAATTCTAACAACAGTAATTTACTCCAGTTCCCTGTGTTCTGAACATTTCTTGTTTCTTAAAGATTTACCTTCCTGCTATTACAAATACAGAAATAATAATGGAGATCAGTTCTATATCCTGTACTTTATCTTTCTGTTTTATATGATCCTGTGATTCAATCTGATCAACTGAGTTTTGAGAGCTGAATTCCCTATCTGCTTCTCAACTGTTCCCTGATCCCATAGTCTTACGTGCAATTTTAAAGATCCCTATTTTAATTTTTCTAGCTAGCCTACTAGAAAGTTAATTATTTTTAAAATGGTTTTGCAATTAACATACTTTGCATTTTGTGTAAACATTTTGTAATACCGTAAGTGTAGTGCATATAAAGGCACAAGACAGAGTAAGATTTGTGTCGCTGAAACTTCCTTGGTTTCAGAAACTAGCAGTACACTTTTTTCTTTTTAAATCTGGCTGGTAAACTTTGATCCTATGAAATCCAACATCTGATTGAATATTTACACATCTCCTTCCTACTTTCCCTGTAAAAGGTTTTCTATGGGAAAAAAGTTTGGGGTTTTGATGTGAGTGATCGGCTGTCCAGATGTGATAGAGCAAATACTACACGTTGTTATGACAATGAAAGTCTCTTTGTATGTACATCATTAAGTTGCAACATTTTAAATACGACTGAGAAAGGAAAGAGCTTATGTTCAATAATTAGTCTGTAATGATTACCAAGCCATGAGAAGCATATTAATGTTCTTGGGCCATGTACTTCTCAAAGTCCACAATTTAGATTAAGCATTTTTGGTCCAAATGTTTCTAAGTAACATTAAGTCCACACATTTTATTTTTCTAAAGAGGTGCTGGCCCAAATTAAGAAGCTGTATCACAACAATCCCAATTTCACAGAAATCATCCTGTGCAGCTGTAACTGAAAGCCCTAACCTCCATTTACACACACAGTCCATCTCCAATATGGGCCTCTTCTTACTACTCTACTAAGAATGAAAATTAACCTGAACTGTAAGCACACAATCCAGTTAAGTGAGAGGTTATTTCAGCAATTAAGTGTTTACAGTCCAGCAGTCATATCTGTATAGGGGAAGGGTGGATACTATCTGCAATCAAGTCTACCAAAATAGTCTAAGATGATCCAACCTGTTTCATTTAGGTTGATTTTAAATCATAAATTAGCTGACTCAGTCAGAATCGGAAATCAAAATATGGTACCTGACCAATCAGTAAGCTACTCAATTACCAAAAATCAATGCTGATAATGCTTTTTCATGGATAAAGCCAGCAGCACAAAATGTATAATTCTTTTTTTTTTTAAATAACCTACTTACGGCCATTGAAATTCATAAATAATATCAAGATTCAAAACTGATGTAAAAGCATGGACGGGCTATATGTAAGGAGTTTACGTTTTCTTGTGCTATCAGAATACCAAAGTAAAAACTAGCCCTTGAATGTGCACAATAGTAAATTTTGGTCCCGCTAATCCTAATGAAAGGATTCCTCCTTTCTCCTCTCATAATACTCAGAAATGTCCTTTAGCATTTTACCAGTAATTTGTGTACGTTGAAACATTCTTAATACAGTTCAAAAATATCAGTATGTCTTATGTTTCAAGCAATGACATGGCAACAGCTAATCAGCTGTCAATTTCTTCTGAGCATATCCACACAGGAGCAGACAGGAACAGCTGGCTGATAGGGGCTGATTTTTGGAAGAATGCATCTTCCTTTCATCAGCAGCTTTACCTTGAACTGGAACAGAAAGCATAAAACTCCAATAATATTTTAGAAACACAGGCACATTTAGCAATTTAATGACATTTGTTGCAATAACTTTTACAGGAAAAAGCAACTTATAATGGAACATTTAAGCAGTGGATTGATCAGGGGACTGGCAATAGAGCTGCCTTCAAATCAATCCATCTTAGGCTGGTAGTGATCAAAAGTTGTGATCATCTTGTGGGTATTCTATTGCCAACTACTATGTGAAATTAGTTGGTAATCTAAGTTCAGTTCCTACAGGTATCTGCCTCATAAGAACAACTGTTACAAGTGGTACTAAAATGAACCATTGTTGTCAGTCTCAGTACACACACCAGTCTGAACGCCTACCCCTAACAGTGGTGCCAACAAGCTTGTAGCACAGTGTCAGAAATGTGGCGTTGCGCTTCCACTATAATGGTGCTCTGGAGAGAGAAATTCTTTCTTCATTAATATCAATATAATTGAGTGAATGTAATTTTTCACTGTTTCTCTATGAACTTTCATAGGCACAATCCAACTCAGAAAAGTTTATATGACATACATGAAAGAACGCAGTAAATTCAAATTCAGTTATGTAAGTAACAACAGAAATATTAGTCCTGGGAAAATACCTCCAAAAAGTTTTCAGAAAGAGTTGAATAAAATATTAAATTTACACCAGCTGTATTCAGATTCTTTGTGTTAGCGTTCCATGAATACTTGTATGAGTAACTTTACTTGTTAAAAACAAGGCATAGTGATTTTTAAGCAAATACTCACAAAAAGTAAGACATACAAGTATTCAGACCAGAAATCTGATTCCAAGTTATTCATCAAATCAGGGACAGAAACAATAGCATGCAGGCTGTGTGTCCAATCAAAACTAACAGTTCAAATTTTGAATACTTTCAGACTGCTTACAAACAATGTACAGTCTAATAATTAGTCATAGTAGATATTCATTGGAACAAGGCAAATACTATATAAATAAAAAAAAAAATCTATGTGCTACTCACAGATAATATGCAAATAGGAAAGAGGTTACCTTTTCCAAATTATTCATTATGCATTATTCACTCAAAAATATATTTCTTCTTCCTAATTTTAATTTTGTAATAGGAGCTTTGAAAGCTTAATATATGAGCATGTGTATTGATAATTGCCATGGCTATTGTTATACTCCATTTTTTGTGACTGCAGCCATTAGAGCAATGGATTCCTTTATTTTAATGGAAAATATCCATGAATTTGGGGATTTTGCATTTGAGTGGATGGATGAGATAATAGTCAAACAATTTCAATGAGAACCTTGAGAGTTGCCAAGTTAAAAACTGCATTTCATAAGGTATTATAAAAATAACCAGGAACTCTGATTATGACTAGTGGTTATTCTACAGGTGATTTGAAAAGTCATTTTATGGAGTTCCATAATATGACCCCAAACTAACTTTAAAAGTGTCTCCAGTGTTTCCTAGGCTGCCTTGCTAAAAAATCTCAGCATGTAAATGGTCCCAGGCAGACAATGACATGTATAATTAACTGAGGTGAGTGAGGCAGCTATTTTTCCGTGGTGGCTATTGTTTTGCTAAGATAAGACTGGGTTCAACAGGGTGCTTGCATGTCATTTGAAGACTATCCCTCAACAACTTTTTGAGAGGGTTTTGGAGCGGGCTGACGGTATGCTACCTATAATGACAAGGGGTGGAAATGAATTTCTGTAGGTGTCAGATTCTCTTGGAATGATTATTTCAATGCTGCAGTGATTTCATCATGTTGTATAGTTAGTGAAACTGTTTTAGTGCCCAGAGCCTTGGGTAGGCACCGTGACATTGCACTCCATGTTTTATGGAAATATGTTTATAAGTGTGAATATGATGTAACTGGAATATGCTTCATGCAAAAGGTATCATTACAAAGCTTATGATCTGCTGAGTGTGTTCATCCTATTTGTTTGCATGTATTTAACAGCATGTGACCTCCAGAAGAAGAAAGAGGAGCGTGCATGTACCAGCAATGCAGACACAGGTGAGCAACCGTTTTCATGTTCTCTCCACAGGTACTAATGCAGAGAGTGGACTAGATGATACATCTGAGGGAAGGGAGCAGAAGGAGACTCCACCAATTGTAAGGCATGAGATGCAC